CTACACGGTAGCTAGTGTTGCGTCTGACAATGTGACGGAGTAAGATGCGAAACCTTTCAACAAACTTGGTTTCCATGGTCACCGTGAAATAATGTACTTGCTAGGAGCGCGTTACGTAGTTGGGAATAACCAAGAGGATGTATCGATAGAGGAGAACTGTGATCAGGCCGAAGGAAATTGGCGCAAGTATAGAAGATAGTTAACCTTATAATCCGAATCCGATTGGTGGTCAAAGTTTATCCTTTTGTTAGGCAGTCTGCGCGGGGGAGGAGGAGGGGGTGTGCGTCGTGCTGCAATGCTGTGGCACGGCAGCTAGTAGGAGGGCTGACTATTGGTGTAGAACTCGGTGGGGACCTGGCGGTTTCCGCGAAAGGCGGCGTGTCGGTCGAGCGCGCGGCCATTTTGATAATCTCCCACTCTAGCGGCGCACGTCGTAGTAGTTCCTACTAGCAGAGTTGGTGGTCGCTGCTGTTGTCGCCGTCGCCGTCGCTGCCGCCGCTATCGCGTTAGTATACCTCCCCCTCTTGCCGCTCGACGCGCTCTCGCCGCTTTTTTCTTTAGTTCGTGCCGCGTGAACCTCGCGATAGCCTTTGCGTTAGATGTGCGGCTGGCCGTGTACGCGGATTTCTACTGTTCGAAAAGCGTGCCTCGCGGCCTCGGTGCGTTTGTGCATCACTGCCTTCGTTATTCCGTCGCAGGATATCTCTTAGTGGAATGTGTGACATGTCGCACGCCTAACGTGTCTCCGATAATCGACTCCTCGGAGCCTAATTACTCGAAAAGTGTGCTTGGCGGTGCCGTAGATCGTGCTGCAGTGCATTTCGTTGTTACGTTACGTTTTTGCGGTGCTGTGTCGTATTGTGTGTATATTGGTGAGGAGCGCGCGTCTGGATTAGCCGCTCACTCGCGCAGTGTTATCAGTGTGACGCGCCGAAATAATGAGAGTGGTGTTGTTGTTTGTGAGGGACGTAAGGCCGCCGCCAAGTCCCGCCGCCGCCGCCGCGTCTTCTACGTCGTGCTACTCGTCCTTGTGGTCGTCGGAATCTTCTTTGTTATTATCCTTATTGAAATCCTCCCTGTTATCTTCGCTGTTGTTGTTATTGTTAATTCGAGCAGTGCCTCTTGGAGGAAGTGTGTCAGTGCCCACGGAATTTTATTTGGATAGTCCACCAAGAACTCGACAATTTTGAACACTTGGTGAGTCTCTATGGATATGCGAATTCTGCGACGAGGCTGAGTATTAAGAATAAGCAATGATTTGTTAGGTGATGTCGCAATATATTTGGGAGCAATCACGGATATGTGCGTCAAGCTCGTTCCTTCTGATTTCATTCGGACAATATTCATCGTGCTCTATGCTTGTATCTATGTGCACGTCGTGTAGACTTTCTGCAAGAATGCAAACGGAGATAATATGAGTCTAAATTGATGGATCAGACTCGAAGCCACAATCGCAAGATACGGTCTTCTGTGTCAATAAGATGTATTTCGGTGTGGTAGCAGGGAAACGGTGTTTCATGGGTTTCAAGAGTCTTCCAAGTCTGGTAGAGAGAGAGGGAAATTTCGCTTATCTATATGACGTTAAACATAGCTCTGAATCGACAACGAAGGTCGGGCGGTGGTGTTTTCCTTGATAATGGCTGGAATCCAGGGCTCGTGTTCTATCGTTTATCTCAATCTGCCCCTGTCTCAACACCAACAGCCTTTCCTCGTCCGTGTCATCTATATCGTTCTCACTGGCTTCTTTTCCTCTTCTCCTTTGCTGGTCGCTCTTGGTGCGCTGCGCCCGGATTGCGTAACTGCCAGTCCGCCGTAGCTGCCACTAGCGGTTCCTACTGCCGATGCTCTGTTGTCACTATCCTCTACACAATAGATTTTCGTTTCAAAAATTTCTATCAACATCTTCGTCTTCCTCCTATTAATAATTTCATACCGAGTCTGTCTATAGACGCTTCGTTCAGCAACTACCCAATCTCTCTCACGCTTTACTTCTCTTTCTCCCTGTTGAGGAAACTTGCTATAATGCGCTGTAAAAAAAAAAGAAATATAAAGAACAACCGGAGAAGTGGAAAGTGACGTAGATTGAGGTAGAATAAAGTAGAAAGAAGACGGGCAGAAGAGTGTGTGCTGCATGCGCGTGAGAGAAATAGACGGGGAAGAGGGAAGGGGGGTTGATGTTTGGCTCGTAGGTGTTCGTAGAATCGGGTCGGGTCCGTATATTTTTAGGAACTTCGGCGATCATTGAGTCGTACCGGAGAATTCGCGTCGCTTCATGGAAATTCATAAAAACGTTGCATTCCTTAAGAATCAACGTTTGTGCGGATTGTGCTGTTGAGTGGAGTGTCTGCAGTTTATTCGATCAATTTCAGCCGATTTTCAAGATGGCGTTACTGAAACTGAAAGCCTATACGTGTTTCTTGTAACAAAAGTAGGAAGTGACCAATGCCGGTCGAGTCTTATCCTCGAGAGTGACGACACCCCTCGTCTCTTCCCCCCTGGTCGAGCCGTCACCTCAGTTCGCCGCTTTGATTGGGCTGTCAATGCGAAGGAGTCTCCCATTGTCTGTCGCTATATGTGCTAGATTAACTGAATATTAGGAATTCGATGTAGTCGAGATGCCATTTGCGAAAGGCTACACGAATCTCTCAGGCTGCTGATCCATCGATCCCCCTGAAGTCTCGAACCTGACTTAGGTATACGTCACGAGGGTCTTGTGACGTAGGCCTGCGTCGACGTGGCGCGGCACCGACCTCCGACCTTGCCGCATCGCGGACTCACACTCACGGCTTCAGGTCGACCCGAAAGCGAATTCGATTCTGAAATTCGAGTCTTCGATCGAGTCTTTGAGTCTTAGTATGTTAACGAGCTGTTCGAACGTTTTAATAAGCAAGCAAGGATCTGGACTGCGACGTATTCCGCGGGGAGAGTCCGAAGGCTACGGCGACGTCGTCACTCGCCTCGACGCCTCGACGCCTCGACGACTCGTTGCCTCTTTTCCCCGTGACCGATCGAACGGTGCCAGTGTGCCAGTGTCAAGGGGACGCAGAGTCAACCCGATCCTTGATCTCTTGAGCTCAGCCGAAAATTATGAGCCGCGACGATCGCAACGGATTATTCGGACCCTTTCATTCTTCTTCTTCTTCTTCCCCGTCGTCACCTCTCGCAGTTCCTTCTTCTCTCCCCCCTTGCTATTCTTGTCTCCCCGTCGTCTCGCAATTTCTTGAGAATTCCTCAGGCGACTCTGGACATTTCTGTTTCTCGCTAAACTGACGTGTCGCGCTCAGTCGAGCCGCCGGAAGTTTCTCGGCTGTCCTCGTCCCACGCGAGAGGCGAGTCATTTTTGGTTACAAGTCCAACTGTTCTGCTCTGGTTGCGGTAGCGTCGTGACGCGGTGCGTCGACATTGCCAGAAAGGAGTGTGAGAACGACGGACGTCGAATCAACGAGAATTCGCAGCCGTGCAATACGCCGCTTAGCCTTCGCGGGCTCAAAATAAACGCGCGGCAGCTTGCTCCTTCTCTCTCTCTCTTTCTCTCTCTCTCTCCCTCTCCCCCCCCTCCGTATCTTTCTGTTGCTCTCACGTTCTCTTGCTCAGACACGCAACAGTCGTCCGCGCTCTCTTTCTCCCACTCTTCCTGACGTGTAGAGATTCCGAGCGAACGAGCGAACGAGCGAACGACCAACCGACTAACTAAACCTCGAGTCAATTCGAGACACGTATGGCACACACTGGCCGAGTGCGCGCGCGCGCGCGCGCGTCAGATACGTAGGAAACACTGTGTGTCGCCGCGACGACGAGAGGCCGATGGGCGCGTCGCACTTTACGACGGCCGTGCTGCTCGGCTGTTGACGAGGACGACGAGAGCGCCGCGGAGCAGCCGCGGAGCACGTTAGCACTTTTGAACTCTATTTTTGGCCAAGCAGCATTAATTCCTCGGCCGCTTTCACTTAACGACCCATCGCGTTATCGCATCGTTACATTTGATCATACTGCGTGTCGACGTATCACTGGGAATCCGATCGGGAGTCGCGCGCGCGCGAGGACGACTCCCGCCGCCGCCGTTGCCGCCTTCGCTCTGATCTTCTCTTTCCCCCTGCCCCGCGACTCGCAGGGTCCCTCCTTGGCTCCCGGCAGCAGCTAGGCCAATTGCTCTCTCGAAATGCCTGTCAATTATTCGCTAATGACAGTACGCTGCGTGCTCGCCTGCATGCGTGGGCACACGTGCGCGCGGGTGCGCGGGTGCGCGTGTGCGCCCCTATATCGTTCACCGAAATAGATACGGACGCTCGAGTGCATGCTCCCGTCCGACGTGCGTGACGTCACACGCGCGAGTCGAACCCTCCGACGCATCGAAGACGCCAAACGAGCGAATAAGAAAAAGATCGAACAGTGTCTCGCGCCACGTGCGCAGGCGCAGTAGTTCCAGATTCCTCACTCCCGCTTTTTAATCCTGATTTCGGAAAAGATTCTCATTACCTCAGTCAACGTGAAAGACTTTTGTAGCCGTTTCCTGAAAACAGCGTGACGCGTCGCGACGCTTTCAGGACCGATCGCATCGGCCAGATATCTACGTTGTGCGCGACGATCCTCCTGCGACCTGCTGCAGCCTCTCGACTCGGCTCCTGATGGGGCGTCGGGGGGTCACTCGAGAAGGAGTTTGACTCAAGGCGCAAATACGAAGTTCCGACGAAGTTATTGGGAATAGCGTCGAGCCAGGAAATTATCGCGTATTTAAAATCAGCCCGAAGTGAGCGAGGTTACGAATCGCAGGTTTCATTCGGAGACATGAATAGCCAGTGACGTCATACTCGTTTCGTCCAATAACGCGAATCCTCATGTAATTTTCCTTTTTCTCTGGTAAGAATGTTGCGTGCGGGTTCTCCTTTATGTCAAGTGTCATTGACCTGTAAGAGAGTGAGAGAGAGAGAGAGAGAGAGAGAGAGAGAGAGAGAGAGAGAAAGATAGCCTTGAAAAGTACATTGCAATGATTTCTGTTTCAGCGTGGACCGGGACCGTCTTCGGGAACGGGAACGACAGATCCGAGCGGCGATGTCGGTCCAGGCGGAGCAAGCGGCTGCTGGAGGAGGTCCTGACAGCCGTCACGGTCACCGTCATCACGGGCATCATCATGGACACCATCATCATTCGAATCCTCTTGCAGCCACCGCTCCGCTCTTCCGTGCTCCCGTGAGGGTGAGTCTCTTAAAACGTTTCCTCATTTGCCCAGGAACTCCCTCCCACTCTCTCAAGTCCTCGGGACGTCGCTCTCGTCCCAGGATTTACTTTATACCTCCGACTCTGATCTCTGCTCCCTCGAGGATTAACTTTCGCAGCAGCTGCTCCTCACCCATCGATCTGTCTACCGGAAGTGTTGCCGCGTTCTCTCTCTCTCTCTCTCTCTCTCTCTCTCTCTCTCTCTCTCTCGACTTCCTGCCATATAAGATTCCGCTTGGTGAATGCGATCCATCCTCTCGTTTTCCTCCTACTCTCTGCTCTTCGCTAACCCCTGCATATTGCAATTTTCTTCCTGGCTCGGATTTGTTCAACAGGTGCCAGACGTCTTTTACACTTTCATAATAAACCTGAATTGCCGAATTTCCGTGAGCAACGGATTCTCTTAAATCGTTGGACGCGTTTCCAAGCGCCCAGCCCCTTACGACGAGACCCGCAGGCGACGTCCCTACGTTACTGGCTCTGGCTTTTCCCTCCTTTCGCCAAATTATACAGGTCGTCCATGGGCGTCCCAACCAAGGCCAGCGGACTTACCACGTGCTCTGCGATCCTTGCGACCTTTCAATCCTCCATTCCTAAGCGTTGCTCCTCCGCGCCCGTGCGAACTTCAGGCTTACTGACTATATATATGTATATATTTTTTTTTCAAAGTGCGTTCGTCGATTTGACGAAACGGTGGGTAAAATGATGTAAGCGATTGCCATGCTCTCTTGCACTGTGCTACGGTACACAATTTCGTGTGTCTCGGGTGGTGGGCTTTCCGAACGCAGAGATCAATCTCACCCACGTGGACCACGGTTGCTTTCTCGTAGGTAACGTTGGCTTCCAAGAAGCTCCCGAGAAGGACGTCTCTCGCCCGTTCCGGGTCCACTACGTCAGTAGCGTCGAGGACTGTGACGTCCCGAGGCTCGGCGGTGGGTGGCGGGGTGG